AGCCGATTGCCGTCAGCCCAAATAAAATATTATTGATGAATAGTTCGTTCAATCAAAAATTTGTCTACATATTTAATGAAATTAAAAATGTATATATGTAGTTCAATTTGTTAATTCATTTGAAATTTAAAATTTAGAGTTTTAAATTTGTAACCGTACATATAAAATAAGTGTTTGTATAGACTCATCTAGCAAGTCTAGATCTTATTACAATTATTTCTTATATTATGCCTTGCAGCAATTTTGATTAAACACTATCAACTTTTAATAGTCCCAAGTGAGATCTGTGTAGAGTTTATAATTAGACTGGTGGCAGCTACTGATCTGAATTAAATTTTGTTTCAATTTTGCTGTCTGTCGTAGCGTTTGCTCAAGAATGAATTATGATGGCATTAACAAATTTATTATTTAAAAATATTACAGCACAAATCTTATTATATTTTGATTTAAACAAAGCGTGGCTTCGTGGAGTTATATTACAACCCAAAATATAAACTTCCAGTTTCTTCTAGGTTATATTTCGTGGAGCAATCAAACTCTACAAAAATGAGTTTCGTAGCAGGGACACCATTTTAATAAAATTTGCGGTCAAAAGAGTTATCTACTTTTAATCAAATGTTTTATAATTCTTGTAAAGCTTTCATTCGAGTGTTACAAAGTTAAGATATTCTCTACTTTTTCTCGTTTTTTCATAAGAACATTTCCTCTATAGTTAGACCACTATTATACTTGTTATATTTTTACACCAACATTTTTGTAGCTGAGTGTGTACCTTAGATTAGCTCGTATTTTCTGTTATAAGAAAGAATTTCTTCTATTAAGAAAAATTTAACAAAATACGTTATAATTTATGTCCATATAGACTATTACATAATATAAGGAACTATACCTCATATTCAGTATATACAATATATTATATTTATATGTAAGTCTGTATATATAAGAGTATGATCCTTGGACATTTAAAAATGATTTTTAAATTAACTGCTTAAATGTTGACGGGAAAATAATTGAAAACTATTCATTATGTCGTAAGTATGCATATACATATACAACGTTTCTATACATATATATATATATAGTAAAAGGATATTTATTGCGTCATTCACATTTTTTATATTATGCATTAAGAAAATAATGAATTTGATTATTATTTCGACATCTAGAACTTTAACTTTTCCAAGTCAACAAAATTACGAAAAAAAAAGATTTTATTAAATAATTTCTAACTTAACATTTTTTTTACTATACCCTAAAATATTGTATATAAAGTGTACGTTATAGAATATCGAGATTATCAGAGCTAAATTTTTCTATTGACGACCTTAAACGTATATTGTTCAGTAAGAATTAAATTAATCTTTTATTCTCATCCAACAAATAAGAAAAAAATTATAAAACAAGGTAAACAAAAATATTTTTAATATTTTATAGAAATTTTCAAATAAACGATTTTCTAGTATTTAAAAGCCATAAATAAAATAATTTTGTTCTTTTTGTAAACCATTGAACTGAAAAATATTATATGACATACACTATATCCACATACATAATATGATATGCATTTATATAGAATATTAAATTTGCTATCCTTGAAATTCTCAATATAATATTAAGGTTATAGAAATTACAATTTAATATTATATAAGCATGCATGTGTAACGTTTTCAAAAATAGAAGAAAGTATATATAAGGTCATTCCAATCCAACTGTGAAGCATATCTACATTATATCACACACAACAAAAACTAAAATACAATTTGCACTAATGTCATTATCAATCTAATGTTGTTGTTGTTATACTTTTTATTTAAGAAAACTATAATGACATAACATTGGTATTTCTTTACAAAATATTCATTTTTCGAAAAATTCTAATTCACTGATCCCAGGATAGGGTGAGGAGGGGGATATTAAATGTAAAAGCAAACATAAAATCAATATAATTTTAATGAACTTCATATATTCTCTATACTTAATACAAAAGTATTTAAAATGAAATTATAAAAAAAAACAATGAATTTCGAATGAGTTGCAATCGTCATTAAAATTCAAAATTATGAAAAAATAAATGTGACTGAATTATTCGCACAAATTTCCACAAAACACAATAAATTTTAAAATAAATAAAGTTAGGATCAAAACAACTAGTTGGTTTTCAAGGTAGCACCTTTCCCTTGAACAAGTTAAAATACTGCTTTTAAAAACATTCTATTACATTATTCATATTTTGCTTTCATTGACATACTTCGATGCCAGAAGGATGGGTCGCCCTGTGAACGATTTCTGTAGGAGCTGCTGTTACGATGAGGAAGACGAGACGGAGACCAATCTTTTTTGCGAAGAAGGTGATCGGAGATTCCTTGGGTAATTTTTCTTATTCTTACATTACGATAGTCGCGTGAACCTAACCTTATCTAGCCTATAAATCGATTTTAATCAGGATGAGCAAAAAAAACATGAATTCAAAGCAGCATTAACAAATAAATTCGACGGTTAAGTAAATGAGTTAAAATGAAATTTTACTCATAACTTGGCGATAACTTCGAAGTAATGGAAAAAGTTTTTTTTCATTGAACTGATTTTAGATCTATCGGGAGAGTAAAGATCTATTTTCATATCAAATTTCTCCTTTCTGTCTTAAAGGGTCAAGTTATGTAAACTGATACGTACTCGAACTGGACGAACAAAGCTGCACTAATTTTTTTCTCAATTTTTTTTTTTTCAGAGAAATACTAAACAAAATTCTTTACATATGTGTATAGCACCTTTCCAGTAAAACATAGAAGAAAATGTGACTGCGTTCTTCTGTGTTTTTCTCACTATGTTCTTCTGTCTGCCCACATGCCTTAACTTTTATATTGTTAGAGGCAGAAGCATGAATATTTTTAAACAAACTTCTCTTGTTCTTTTAACATTTTTTAGAGAAAAGTGCTATTTAGATAAGGTTTAACCAAAATTTGTTGTAATTCAACTAAAATTTTTTTTTTTGCTATAAGAATAAATTTTTCTCTTTCTAGATTTGAAAATTTCCGTTCGAATACCGTCCTCTAGTCGAAGTTATATTGATTTCTTTTCTTCGTTATTCATTATTTTAACATAATAAAAAGTGTCATATAAAATATACACATATTTATATACATATATCTACTTATTATATGAATTGAAAAAATTTTTTTTATGTTTTCGTTATAAGGAAAAAATTTTGAAGAATAATGAATTCTCCTTTCAATTGTATAAAGCAGGAATCTAAGTGAACTCAGAGCAGAATTCTTCAACTTTGTTTTTCTACTACGTTCATACATACATCTACACATTTTTTTTATAAAAACAAGAGACAAAAAACGCTTTTATATTATGACTCTCTCGTAAGTAAAATGAAAAAAAAAAAAATCGACTGAGTTTATTTTCCTTTAAATAGCTAATTTGATTTCAAAAAAAAAAATGAGAAAAAAACGAAAAGAGAAAAGAACTAATTCTCTTTCTTTTTTTTTGTTTTTTGTGAAAAGCCTTTAAAATCTTTAGAAAAAAGCTACCTACTTATATTCTAATATAATAAGGAAAAAAAATATTTAAATAAATGAGAATAGTTTTGTTTGAACAAAAAAACAAAAGCAGAAAAGGATCAAAAAAATAATGGTGGGAGTTGGAGAGAAAATAACAATTTTTTTTTTTTTGGAATTGAAAAGTAAACGCACTTGACTTGATAACACAATGGAAATGATAATGGAAATTCATTTTTATTGCCTTCATTAAAGGAAAATATTTAGGTTCAAAATTTCTTTTTTCAATCTATATAAACTGTTATATACATATATAGGTAATGTTGAGTCAAACTATAGCAATTTTAAATTTTTTTAGAATATTTGTAAATAAAAATTAAAATTTCTAAGAAATATTTTACATTATCCAATTTGGCTTGTTTTATAAAGGGTGTTTCGGATATAGCGGTAAATAATTGCCGAGATGTTTCTATAACCAATTTCTAGCAAAAAATTATATGGGGGGGGGGGTGCAGATATAATCGTTTTCGAGTTGTTCGTGCGTATAAAAAAATGAATATAACTATCGAACCATTCCGAAACATAAAGTAACAATCGGAAACTGGTTTCAAAGGAGATTGACTGATGCTAATTTTCGGTCTTTGGCTCTTGATTTGAGCCATAGTTTTTGATATAAAGCTCGTCAAAGTCAGAATTTTTTTTTTTAATTTTTTTTCAAAACTCGAAATTTCTCGAAAATTTGTGTTATTAATTTTTTTTTCGGTGTGTTCCCCCTATTTCTCATAGTTACACCATTAATGACTATTTTCGTATGAATATTACCAAAAGAAAAATTATTTGCAAATACAATTTAATCTCATTATAGCGATTAATATAAACTTTAATAGTTTTTATTTCCTTAAAATTTCTAAATACGAGTACATATTTGTTATAACTGAAATATAGATACGCAAAAAATTCCTATTCCGCACGGAATACAGAAAATTTATTGAAATTTAATTGTGGAATGGTCATAATCATATTAACATTCTTAATTAATACTGAAGGTTGCTTAAATCAGAATTCTTATTTAAATTCTCACTATATTTGTAATTAAATTTTTTTTGAATCGTAAAATTTTATATTTGGTGACAACTAGAAATAAATTGGCTTTTCAGTACCAGTCTTTTATACTGTCATTTCACTTATTTTAGATTAATGTTAAGCATTCTCATAATACGAAATGGAAATTTCAATATGAAGCCTATTTTGAATATAGATTATTTTGAACATTAGACTTTCGATTAATATTCAAATTAAAAATTATGAAAAACTGTTCTATATATATAACGTATTTGCTACGTTCTATATAATATATTAACTGTTCTAATATGTTTACTTTGCTTATCAAATCACTACACTTAATATAAAAAATATTTTTAATTAAAATTAGAATTTTTTTAAAAAAATATATTTAATTTGAAATGTTAAAAAATTTTTTTTTATTTTTCATTAAAGGGGTGGACCTGGCCTAAGATGGGGAGCGTGCTATTTGCAGCTGTGTTCATAGCGTCACTATTTACCACCGGCCTGGCCAACCCTGATGCAAAACGTTTATACGACGACCTTCTAAGCAATTACAATCGTTTAATTAGGCCTGTCGGTAATAATTCAGATCGCCTGACGGTCAAAATGGGCTTAAGGCTATCGCAGTTAATTGATGTTGTAAGTATTAAATATTAAATAGCATTTTCATTAATTTAGATATACTTTTAGGTTTTTTTTTTCATTTTTTTTTTACTTTTTTTTTTTTTGTTTTTTATTCTTTGTTGTTTCCTTTTTCTTTTTTTCATCGTTCATGAACTTTTTCTTTTTTGTTTTTTAATTAAAATTAATATATTTTTATTTCTTCAAAAATAATTTTAAATAAAAAACAAGAAAAAAAAAAACTAAACAGATGCTTTTAAAAAGATTATAAATAAGGTACAAAGAAAAATATTTTAAAATCCTGACCAAACAAAATACCATACTTAAAAAAAATATAATGGGAAGAAAAAACAATATTAAGATCTGGACAAGAGAGAGGAACGAACAAAAAAAAAAACAAAAACAAATAAGAATTCGGGTACGAGGAACATAAATAATTATTGTAGATCATAAACTTTTATTAAGGTGATTTTACATAACACAGCCAACAAAATGACCGCAAATCAAGAATTTTTCCATTGAGAACATTGATAAAAGTTTTAATATTCTAAAAGAGGGAGCTTATTTCAATAAAATGATTACACTATAATATTTAATTAGATTTGGATTTTGTTAAGAAATTTAAAATATAGAGAGTAGAAATGCTATCATTTTCGCCGACTAACTTGTGACCAACCATTTAATTTTAAAATGCAGGACTAAGTCTAAAATGCCCGAAAGGAATTCCTTTGATACCATGATAAGAAAATTCAAATATTTACCTGACGCCGGTTAAACATAAACACTTCAGGAAAAACAAGATGAAAATTTAAAAACCTTCAATTTCAAAATTTTACTAAAAAATATTTTTCCAAGCAGTTCTATAAAAATTTCTTTAAAATTAAATAGTTTACAGTGTAATAAAACCCAACTCTTCTCTTATATTAATTTTCATAGAATTGAGTTTGAAATATTTCTAAACCTGTTCATATATTTAAAATAATATTCGAATATCAAGTTTCATGACTTTTCTCAATTTCATTTTTCTAATTTCATGTTAATTTTATGAATAAATATAAAATTGGTTTGAAAGGTCCTTCTTTTTTCACACCGCACAATTAATTGTTATAGTTATAACAACCGGGTGCTATGAATTATTAATGAAATGTATTCTTTCTTCATCAGTTAGTTCATTTAGCCAAATAACCTTTAATTTTTTTTTTTTGTGTGTATACCATTAAGAAGAAGCTTATGAAATTTTCAAATGGAAAATAATATTTTTTTTTTTGGTGTTTTTTTTTTGTTTTTGCTCATTTTTGCTGAACCACTTCATATTTTCCACCGCAGTGTTAGAGTTTTTAGTATTTCTAAAAAGCAAAACCTGTAGGTATTTTTTACAAATTTGTGTTCGCAATTTTTTGGTTTCATATTTTTTTTTTGTTTTGTTTTTTTCGTTGTTTTTTAATTGAATAGCGATAAAGAAAATCAAAAAACAAAAGTAAAACAAACTAAAGGACCCTTCGAAAGAAAGTTTTATATAAAATCAAAAAACAAAAAAAAAAAAACAAAAATAAAATAAAAAATAAGTCCAACATCCTGAGGACTTTATAAAATTAAATTTGTCAAGATCCTATCGTAAATTGTTTTCTATTAAAAAAAATTAATGATCAAAACCTTTTTTCTTTCTGCCTTTTCCTTGTTCTCTTCATTTTCTTTTTTCTCTCTTTCTTTTCATTCGCTTATTCGTCGTATATATAAGGATGTTATTTGTTTCATTCTCTTTCTATTGTTGTTTCATTCATATTTTCGTTGTTAGAAAGTAAAGAGAAAAAAAACACAAAATATAAGAATTTTTTAATACCGTTGTTGGTTTTGTTTACGTAAAATTTTATGAAGCCTAAAAAAAAAAATTTGTTTTTTAATTTATAAGTAAGAAAAATATATTTTTTTTTTTGTTTTGGTTTGTTTTTGAAATTTTCATAATGAATGAAGAAAACAAGAAAAAAAAAACTTCTCTTCGCATGCACTGGAATCGATTTTTTACTTATTTAAAATTTTTAATGTATAACAAGGAATATTCTATGTGACCGCGTTGTATGATGGGACATTATTCTTTGTTAACTAAAGTTATGATGTAAAAATCAAAGAACAAGAATATTTTCATATTAAAATATTTTAAATGTACACACTCATTATTGCCAAATAAATTTTCGAAGTATTATAGGTACACTTTAATTATACTAACATTAGTATCAATAACTTTCGGGTTAAAAGTTAAACAATTTTAGGTTAAATAAAACACAAGAACAGAATTAATAAAATCATTTGCCTAAAATAACTTTTAAAACTTGCACAAGTGTAGTGTATACTTAGCCCTGAATTCGATTGAAAACATTTCTGAATTATGACCACAAAGGCATGGAACTCTAGAAAATTCTTATATCACTAGAAACAATTCCATTCTTTAAATCAAAATGAAAATAAATTCTAATGAATTTTTGAACACTTATATAATTTTCTATACCAATTTTTATACAAAGAAATTTCTATACAATTTCTATGTAAAATTTATTAGAATGTCAATAATTTTAATTTATTAAAAAATTTGTCAAAAAAAAGAAACCTCCATTAGATTTAGATTCGTATTTATTAAGAACTCTTTATTTTGTTATCAATAAGTAATTAAATTAATTTAATTAAGAATTGTGGAAAAAAAACTACTTTCGCAGTTTTGATTAAGCGTTTAAAAATAATAAATTTTCTTTTACGATTTAATGAATCATCTTAGAACGGTTTTTTAATTTCATTATCATTTCGGAAAATTTAATTATTCAAAACAATAAAAAATAAACCAAATTCTCGATAGAATACCATAAAATATTCCAATAAATTGCATTATCATTGTTTGTTCACATTTTAAAATGAATTTATAGAAAAATTTTAAAAGTTATGTAAACACTCAACCATATCACTATTTTTATAATAATTAAATTTCCGAAAATTTAACACTGAATAGAATAACACCCAATAATTTAAAATTTTTCCAAATCAAAAAAATTATATTTTTTTTTTTAAAGAATAGAAATTAATAATATTAATATCAATTAGTTAAATAATATTGACTTTTCACTCAAGAGTATGCATAAATTCAAAATAAATAATATGCTTTTTATTTATGAGTCTATGAGGATTTAAACAAACAAACAGTAAAATTTCAGAAAATCAAACAAATCAGTTTTTTTTTTTAACAATTAATAATATCGAATTAAACAATTAAAATAATTGCCTAGGCTATTAAAAATTTTATCAAATAATTTTCTTTACTTTTCTTCTAAAAAAATTGCATACATTCAGGGGCAAGTAATTAATTTTATTTGTTTATAGTAGGCATACCATATGCAATCAAAAAGTAAAATTTTCAAGAAATTAAAGATAATTTTGTGCAACTTATATCTTCCATCTGCCACATTTTTATGGTGGTAATTGTTTTTTAATGAAAATATGATAGAAAATTGTAAGAAATTAGTAGGGACTGCCAAAAATATAAAATCTAGATCTAAAATAGTAAAATTGTATTTAAAATAATAAGATTTTCCAAAATTATAATGTTCACATGAATTTGTATAAAAACCTGAACATTTGAGTTCCAATTAGGCTACTTTTACATTAAAAGAATGATAAAAAATTAATTTTCAAAATTTGAAAGAAATAAGAGAAATCAAAGAAAAGTTTTAAAGAAAATATTAAAATTTTGAAAAAATCTAGATACTTTAAACAATTTCCAATACAATTTATCCTATTTAAATTTTTATTTTTTATTTAGTATAACAAGATATCCGTAATAAAAATTTAAACGAACACAAAATAAGGAAAAAATAAATTTTAAAATTAAAATTCAAATTTGTGTCACATTAAATATAATCAAATCAGCTTTTTTCTATTCTACCGCTACGAAAAAAAAAAAAATGTATGAATAGTACTAAACTTTATCGTTTAATATGTTAATAAAATGCCAATAAAACATTTTCATAATGATTTTCTTGAAACCACAAAAAAAAAAAAACCAATTTTAAAAATGTCTTCATTTAAAATACATGATGCACAAAGGAACTAAAGATTGTGTCGCTTCATTTTATATACTAAACCTCTTACTACATACTTATACATGTATAAAATTTTATACAAAAAAAAAGTGCATGTATGCCTTTATAATTTTAATAGATTCAATGAACTATAACTGAACTGCACATACAAAAGCGAAAGAAAAAAACCCATATACACGCCTAAAGGCTTGAAAATTGTATTCATCTGCATGCAAAATATCCTGAATTTTTAATAATTTTTTTTTTTCTTTGATAAAAATGTTTCCAAGACAAAAAAAAAAATTTAAAAATAAAAAAAAAAAATTGCAGTGTTAGCATTATTTTCTTATTTTCGTCTGTCTTCAAATTTGAATCCATACTATGCTAGTATATAAAAAGGATATCATCTTTTTTATAAAAATATTGTCAGATTCATAGGAGAAAATAGAGAAAAATCAAGCCAAAAAAAAAAAAAAATTGTTCACTTCTTGTTAAATTTTCTTTTGAACCGAAAATAACCCTCAAGGAAATCGTATATGTGTGTGTAGCATATGAGTATACTATAAAATTCAACGATGAATATTAAAAATTAAATTTTTTCCTTTTGTCCTCTTTTTTTTTTTTTTGGAGAATACAATTCTAAGATCATATAATAATAATACATTATGATAAAAATGGAAAAAAAATTGCACAAAAAATGAAACTTAATCAACATTCACATATTTCATGTATGAACTCAATACTCTATATTTCACAACTTCACGTATATATTTTAAAGAAATAACAAATAATAGTACAATATCCATATTGCACTTTAAACGAAATAATAAAATTTATATGTGTATAATTTAATATTGTATGTATATATATGTACATATATAAGAAATTTTGAATGCAAAAATTGTATTTAGAAAAAATTTCAATAACTTTTTTTTTCTTCTCTATGAAACCTTAAAAAATATTATTACATCCTTTTTACATGTACAATACATAATAAATTCAATATAAGCTTATTAAATAATAAGCTGAATATCTAAATTAAATTTATATTTTGAAGTAAAATTGTATATGTATTCATTATTTATAGACAATTTTTTAATATTGAGTGTGTTAATGCAATTTTTCATTTTACATTTTTTGAAACATAGCCACTTTCATTTCTAAATTATTATTGTTTATATCAGAAAATAAAATATTTCCGAATTTGAATCAATAATAATATTATGAAACGAGTCTTTGTTTTACGTGAACACCTTTAAAATTCGATAAATTCATTCGGAAATCTATGAAATAAAAGCTGCTTGAAAAATATTATTAATTTTAAAATTAAATACATTATCGGTTTGGATATTATTTCTTTCACTATTATTGTTGCTTTTTGAGTATGCTGTCCCATCAAGGCCTGTCTGTTCTCGTTCTATACTCTACGCGGTTTTGTAAAAGTTTTTCAAAGCAATGAACAGTATGCAATAAACATTGCCTATTGCACATAATAATTATGCCAATGTTTTACTTCATTCTTTGTATTTACTTAATTTGCATGTATTGTAGATCTGGCACTGAGTCCTATATACTTTATGCAAAAATTTATATCAATTATATTTTAATATTTTAAAGTAAGTGTCTGATGTTATTAAAGATTTTTCTAAAAAAATTTTTAATATTACTAATTTATTGCATTTTCAAAAGAGAATATTATTATAAGTGTTTCATTTATATTATGTGAATAATTTATGTAATTTGGAATTTTCCTAACAAAAAATTTTCCAGCTAAAATAATCGAATGTTAACAAATTGTTAATGATTTAGTTGGCAAAAGAATGTCCGTGAAAAATTAGGGAAACAGTTGGGATCACTATAAAATGGTGTCCACATTTAACCCTTACTTACATGTGCCACACCTAACCCTGCCTTTTACAAATTTCATGTTTGACCAATACAATTTTCATATTATATCTTTTTTTTTAATTTATTTTAATTTTAAATAAAATTTATTATTTTATTTTTATAATGTAAAAAAAAAAATAATTTTTTCTTTTTTAATAAGTACATAAATTTTATAAAAAAAAAATTTTCTTTTTCTTTTCTTTTCCATTTTCAGAATTTAAAAAATCAAATTATGACTACAAATGTCTGGGTAGAACAGGTAAATTAAAATTTACATAAAAAAATACTTGTATTTCACATATTTAAGCATGAGGAATTAAAAAAACAAAACAACAGCAACAACGCACCTTTTTTAATCGAAACCTTTTTCTATATATTTACAAAATGATTTTATTTATTTTTTTACCGACCGTATTGTGTAAACAATAGGTAGGTTATGTGATGGCAACAAATTTTGCATATCGAGTTTTCGGTGGGAACGTACTTCTCCATAGTAGGGAAGTGTAAATAAACTATTTTTAGCAACCTGTCGGTCTGTCGGTCTGTCGGTCTGTCGGTCTGTGTGTGCACGCGTGTATCTCAAGTTCGGCTGAACCGATTTTGATGAAATTTTATATGTAAGTTTATTTCCACCATGGCACGGATCGATCAACTTTTGGTATATATCAGGCCTCGGGAACTGCACTTTTTAGCGGGCCTGTTTTACATTTTTGAGCATATTGAAGAACATATTCAACCGATTTACTTGAAATTTCATATATAAGTTTTGCTCTTCCAGCGATGAAACCTCCTAACTTTTGGAAGAAATCAGGCATCAGCAACTGGACGTTTACTACGGGCCAAATATACATTTTTGTGTATATAAAGAGAAATAATCAACCGATTTCATTGAAATTTAATATATAAATTCCTTGTATTAAAACAATGAACATGTAAATTTTTTGGAAAGATCAGGGCTCGAAAACTGATCTGCGGGCCGATTTTACATTTTTCATCATATCTACGGAACGAATTGATGGAGTTTCTTGATATTTGATATTTGAGTTCTGGTTGTTACCGAAACTAACTGGTGAGCCTTTCAGGGAGTTCGGGTAGCACAAAGCGAAACTCTACTAAGAGCCAAATTTATATTTTTCTAAGTATGTTAACTATAAGCTTACTAATGTCCTAAAAATTGGAAAGAAGTATTTAACAGACATTTCTATAATATTCTGTAACACTTTCACTTAACTAAACAATACACATTGCGGTCGGTTATGTGCTGACCACATCAGATTTTTTTTTCTGTATACATATATTTTATAGACATAAAATTATATTATGCCTTTTTATACATTAGTCAAGGATATTTAAGGATATTTCAAAAAAAAAAAAAGAGTGATTTTTCTTTATACACAAAAAAGAATCTTGCAACAACAACAACAACAAAAGAAAGGCATAAAAAAAAAATCCGTTTTTAATTTGCATTTTACTAAAGGTGTTGGATATTTCTTTTACGATTATGCTGCTGTGCTTTTTAGTGTCTATTAAGGATACTTAAATAATTTAAAGCATATTTAAAAAAAAATAAAAAAAGGGGGAAAATAAAACAGAAAAAAAAAAAATTAAGAAAATTTATTACTAAAATCCTAATGTGAATTCCATGTAAAAACTTTCTGATAACAAAATGAAAAAAAAAAAAATAAAAAATAATTTTTCTCGTTTGAGCTTTATAATAAATGTTTTTCTTAAACGTACACATGCACATATAAAATGCGGATTTTTAAATTTACAGTGATCGATAAAAAAAAAATTTGAATGGCGCTATACCAAATATTAAAGGCAGTTCGCATATTACGTAACAAAATTTGTTGTCGTTTTTTAATTAAGAGAAAAGAGAATATGGTACCCGCCTCTAAAAAATTTAATTGAAATTTAGCCAAACCGAAATTTAAAGACAGCAGAAATCATGAAATCATTAATCATTTTCATCTCACTTTTTATTCATTTTCAAATCAGAATTCTCCATTTTTCGAATAGATATTTTATGATAATTATCAGCAAATATTTAAGCTTATATATTGTGGTCAAACCTAATAGAAGCTGTATTAAAGACAATAAATATAATATTATAAATTTAAATAACATTTCTCACGAAACTTCTCGGATTAATGCCATTTTTTGTCACTACGATGTACTGATTCATGAAATTTATGAAATAATAAAATCAAACCAGATTTAATAAATACGAAATAATTTACGTTGTACTCAAAGATCTGTTAAAATAGATTCTAGATTATAAATTTATTGATTTATAAAGAAAGATATGGGCAATAGAATATTTCCTCTCCGACCATTAGATTCAGATACAGCTTATTTAAACTCTCTCATATCCCATTTGTGCTATCCAGATTCGAAGTAAATATCCGGAGATATGCCTCAAGGAGTTGAACGTGAGCTCACCAATCTATAACAATAAAAATTCATTAATTTGTGCTCAATTTCTAAATTTTACTCGTTTTAAAATTCATTTAAAATTTTATCAAGTTCAATTTCAAATTAATTTGAAATTTGAAATTAACCAAGCACTCAGATTGTTACAAACTCATATAAAAAGGGTCTGGTATAAAAATTTCAGTATAATTTGAAAGGATCTCAAAAAATTTCTTCCTACCAATATAAATGCAACTTTATATTCAAAAAAAACCCTGTAAGTTGTATACAAATTGTAAAAACTTATATACGTACACAAGCATACACACTTATATGGACAAGCTAAAAAAAAATATATATTATTTGCCCTTGCATGTGCAATTTAATGTAATTTACATCTTTAACATATTTTTATCCTATTTAAAAAAAAAAAAAAAAATTCTTTTATTACAAATTTAAAATGAATTGCTTACGTAAAATATTTTTGTATACACATTTAAGCTAACATAACGTATATTATTATACAAAAACTTGGCAAATAAACATTATTATTAAGGGACACTCCTATTTACATGTATATGTACATGATATTATACACATGAATACGAGTATAAATTGTTTAACTATTATACACATATACACATACCAGTATTGTGTACTTAAGTGATGATATTCAAATAGATATGGTAAGATGCTAAATAATTTTTATGGTCATTTAGAGGTATACTTCTATAACGTTATTTTTTCCATATTATGGCAGCCATGTTGAAAAGGGTTTAATATTTTAATATATGCTACTACTACATTTTTTTATTTTTTACTTTTCGGAAAACCTATTTTCCTATTCACCATATTTATATGATGTAGTTTACAAAAAAAAAGAAAAGAAAAACAAAAATAACAGAACTAAATTTATGAAATGAAAATAAGGAATAAAAAGGCTTTTTTTATATGATAAAGTGGTCATTTTACTCGTTTCTATTTTTTTTGTGTGTTTACACTTATAATATACAAATGTATGTATATTATGTATGTATATTGTATTATTTTGTTAATAATGTAATCGATTTAATGAAATAATTTTATTATAAACATATCCTTTGAAAAGTATTATAATAGTATATAACAGTATATAGTAGAACACAATATGAAGTTATAAATTTGAATTTATTGCTCAATTTTCATATTCAAAAAAAAAAAAAATTAAAATTAAAAAGAAGGGAAAGGAAAAAAAAGGTTCATAAGAATTCATCATAAGTTTCGTTTTTACAATAATTTTACAAAAAAAAAATTTTAGGTAACGACATTACGTAATTCTCCCGATTAAATTTCATATTTATACGTTCATATAAGTAATAGATATGCAATATAATTTAAAGCACAATCATAAATTGTTCACCACAAAGTTAAAGGCTGAATTCGCGCTATTTGTTAATAATAATCATTGACAATTTTCTGAGTTAAAAAAATAATTTTTCTACTTATTTGAATTATAAAATAAAATCAAATAGTCATACACTTACTCACTTCCTTATTAATTACAAACCATACTCTTGTTGTTCTTACTAATAATTATTAATTGAAAAATATTATGAAATTTAAATTCGAAAGGGCAGATTTATTGATGTTTAATGTCTAATATATATATTGAATTTCAATTTTCAGATTTCAAGCTCTATTTATATTTTAAAAAATTTTTGTAGATATCACCTACTAATTTTAGTTTGATTTCTCGTAAGCTGACATTCATTCGAATGTGAAATATACGCGGGAAAATTAAAATTATTACAATGCTGATTTGACAACATTTTCATTGAGGACATTTTATGAAAAACTACATATATTAGCTGTTGATATTTACAAAAAAAAAAAAAGAAAAAAAATCCAAATTTCCTTCTCAATAATATCATTATTATGTACATAATTATCATTACATTAAATATTATGGTGCAAAGAGAAAATATGATTGTGACTGTTGTTCACTGCGGTATTTTTGTCATTTATATTTGGTGCCTTTGGAAAAATTTAAATAAAAATGGCTGACATTCGGTTTTAGCCACATTGTATATATGTATACATATAAAATTCAACGATTATAATTCTCTGACATCGGGGTATTTACAGAGATTGAACTATAAGAGAATGCTACGTGTGGTTTAAAATTATGATATTTATTAATAATGAAATTTTAACCAATTTATATGTAATTTATTTATTACCTTTATGTAGTGACAATTAAACAATCTTTTTTGTTTTCCGTGAAACCAAAAGCTCAACACATCCCATTCTAATAAATATATTGACATTTACTGTATAAAGGATAAATTGTAAAAATTAAAAGAACATGTGGCACATGTTCAATAAACTTTGTAAAATATATGAATGATTTAAGAAATATTAAAGTGTTTTGTGAAAAATTGATGTATTTTAACATTTTTAATGAATGAATCTTTGTTATGCATTATATGACTCTTATTTTGCGATTAATGATACAAAAATATTAAAAAAAATGAAAGTGATTCAGATATAGTAGTTGGCGGGACAGTATTTAAGAAAACTATTGTTAAGAGTTCTGTAACAAAGCCACATTTTAATTAATTATGCATCAGTAAACCTTGACATCCTTAGGACTATGCTAATTAAATAATTTCCTGCAAAGATTTAACAATTCTTTTTATTATTAATGTGGTAAAACTGGTCGTTTTGAGTAAACCTTTAATTCTAAATCAAGAATTTTATTCTGAAATATTTGATATCTACATATATTTTTTAAATAATCTAGTGTCTAATAAATATTCACTACATTCAGAAAATAAATTTTGGTAATCTATAATTTAATTGAAGAAC